TTTCCAGCGAAGGATTGCCGGTGCTAAAGGGCTATGGATGGTTGACCGCCACAACTCTGACATTTCTGTAGGGGGTGATGATTTCTGGATCCAGATATCAGATTCCCAGTTGAAGATCCAGCCGCATCCGCAAGCTTGGCGGGAACCGGTCGATGATGAGAAACTAACATTTGAGGTGGTCAAATGGTCCAAACCCTTGCACCCGGCGGAACTGAACATTCAGTTGCTTGCCATTCTGGAGCACGGTGGACAAGTTAGGGAGCATATTGCCGAGCTTACCCGGGCTGGCATTAGGGCGATTTCTCAAGACTTTGCCAGCGTACTGGAGTCTAACAGCGGTGTGTTATGCCGTAGCCTCATCCAGAAGATCAAGCCTATGGCCGATGATGGCTCGTCGGTGATGAGCCAGAGGGTGAAACGCCTGGAGCAGTGGACTGCTAACGATGCGGAAGCCATCATCAGGCTTACCGAAGCTGGGTTCGCTCCACGGAGTTTCTACCCCCTACGCAAGCGGCTGGGAAGATGCCTAAGAGACTTGCTTGATCGATATGTGGATGAGTTACATATCGAAGTCCCGCTTTCCACCTATGCCTTCTGCATTGCAGACCCGTACGGGGTTCTGAACGAGCACGAGGTGCATTTTGGGTTTTCGAACAACTGGCGCGATGCCCGGGGGCAATTCGAGGACAACCTCCTTGACGGCATGGACGTCCTGGTCGGTCGTCTCCCTGCTCACGTGCCCTCCGATATCCAGCGTCGACGAGCCGTGTGGAAACCGGAGCTTCGGCACTTCAAGGATGTCATCGTCTTTCCCACTACGGGTGACATTCCACTGGCACATATGCTGTCTGGTGGCGACTACGATGGAGATACACCGTGGATATGCTGGGACCAGAACATCGTGCAGCACTTTCAGAATTCCGACCTGCCTACGAAGGAGTTCCCGCCGGAGCATTTTGGACTCGCAAAACATTCGGTGCCCATGAGGGACGTACAATCGACGGACGAGTTTCTCCAGAGCGCCTTTACCTTTAACCTGACGACCTCGAATCTAGGCCGATGCACCGTTGAGCATGAGAAGATTGCATACGACGAGTCGATTGACTCGGCCAAAGCCAAGGAGCTGGCCTGTCTGCTCAGCCATCTGGTCGACGGCCGCAAAGGAGGGGTGCACCTGTCAGAGCAGGCCTGGCAGCAATACCGGAAGAAGATAAGCCCCAAGGCTCGAGAGCTTCCCGCGTATAAGAACGCGGGACGCAAACCCAAGAAAACCGACATCACCGACTACCTCAAATTCGACGTAGCCCGTAAGGAGCGACATGCAGTGCTGGAAGACCTGCAGCGAGCGTTTCCGGAGGAGGACAGCGTGTACGATCGGGATGAAGATCTCGTCCGTCCGTGGAACGAGGCACAGCGGGAGGCTGAGATCGAGAAGCAAGGGGAAAGCGAGCACGGGCAGCTCCGCGCCGCGCTCAAGTATGCCCAGCAGGAGGTCGAAAGACTCTACAGCCAATGGATCAGCTCTATTTCAGGGGAAAACTCCTTCTCGCCCCTTGCGCGCGAGGCGGCAGAGGAAGCGCGGCAGATCCCTCCGCCGTCCCTTGGGGACCATCCGATGATCCATATGTGGCGACATAGCAAGGATGAATGGCTTCGGCTGTTGGCCTCGTACACGTACCGGAAGCATAGCCATGCCAGTTTCACCATCCATGCCTTTGGTGAGATCCTCTGCCAGATCAAGACGAGCAACTTGCCGTCCCGGTCTGTGACCAATGAAATTCTGGCTTGCTACCGGGTCAACCACAAGGCTATCAGCCAGCTTACGGCGAAGGATGCCGTCGATGAGGAGTCCGATGATGGAGACGAATATGAAGGAGAAGATGCTGTGGAAGCGATGCTGTATGGGATGATGCCTGGTGCATATGAGGACACCGACGAGGACGGGATTTCTGTGGAGTGATCGACTACATTTACGTACTTTGTCTAGTCTAGGATATATGTGTACACAACTTTGGATTCTCTCCGAACTCGCTTGGTAGGGTATTCCAAACACTAGATGCCTTGATACCATGATGCCTTGTCGCCTTAAGGAATACAATCACGTGCCAGAATACCGCAGAAAGCGGTGGGCGGCATAAGAGCACAATCACATGTCGCGGCAGTTTCCAGAAACGGGAATTGTTGAGGATCAGAAGCAAAAGTGCTGGGGTACCGCACGCGAGACAAGCGGCAAAGGCTCGATCATAAGGTAGTGAATAATACCGAAAAATACCAGCATGTGACGGGTAGACGGGCATGCTGATGGACTTGCAAAGATCCATCAATCACAGCGAGACCGTCGTCGAGGGATCCGTTTTGGGGGGGTCGATGACGATCAAGAACCATGCAGGAAGTGAAGATTGTGGAGAGGGGGGATGTTCCACCTCACATTCAGCCTATTTCGGATGACATGGGCTCCTGTCACACTACGACTAGATGGTGAAGCTGAAGCAATTATTGTCTGGTAGTAGGATGATATAGGAGTTACGCAGTAGAGTAATAATAATAAGTGGCAAGAGAGTAAATTCGCGTCCAGTTTCCTCCTCAGTCTTGACCGGACAAGCTCCGTTGGGCCACTTTCGTGTCGAGTGTCTCTCTTTTTCTTTCACGTGAAAGCCTCATCGCCGCTGTCATTGGGTTCTGATCAATCACTCGACGCCATTACCGCCCACGCTGGATCCTCATTTCCCACTTCATGCTTGTGCTGGCGGCCAGTATCATCTCCAATTTTAACTATTAGGAGCGTCTGTGATCGTCAATCACATACCTATCAAGGACGAACGCCATCGCTGGTTCAGTTCGCTACAGACATAGTTGTAGTGACTGCTGGCTGCAAACTCGATACGGAGGACCGACTGCGGAGGACCCAAATCGGGCTATCGAGGACTAATTCTGAGCCAGGATACCCTAGTCTTCCGTTGGCATCATAAAAATAACACCGGCAAACAGCGCTATTCTCATGGAAGCCCGTCTCGTGTCGTCTGGCCGAGACGCCGCTGCCACTACCTCCACCACCACGACGCAAACGCCATCCTCCCACTCCTCTTCATCCGCCTCGTCCCCCTTCTCCGCCCCTGCTACCGCTTTCTCCTCGTTTCAGCATGTTCCATCCTCCATGATGGATGTCGATAACCATTCCATGGCCGACGAGCGCTCTCGTCGGGCCACCAGTGTTCTCTCCATGGATGATATAGAGGCAGCCCAGGCGCTTGAAGGGCTCCGTGCGGGTAATCTCTCCTCGGCTCTTGACTGTCAGTGGCAGGCTGACAAAACTCTTGATTGCTTTGCAGATTATGGGCATCCATCCCCTCGAACTTCAACGCAAACGAATCCCTCCAATGCCCCGTCCGACTCCAAGCCCCAGCCCGAACCCCTCCTGTCCCTGCTTACCTCTACCCATCCGCTGATCTCCTCGGCGATCAACGGGTCCATGTCCGCATATACCTCGTCCAAATCATACTCGCCTCGTTTTAAGTCCGGCGCCGAGTTTATCGAGCGCAACATCGGCTCTCCCGTTGCCAACACCGTCGGTACCGTAGGTCGCAAGACCGGTGTCGAGAGCGGTCTCCGTTGGGCACTGCAGCGGCGCGAATCCAACTCCACGGACCCAGCGAAGAAGAGACGGAAAGTCAGTGGCGAGAAGCAGCAGCCGCCAGACGTGGACGTGGAGAAGGGGCTTGCAGGTGACAACGACACCATGGACTCCCAGCGCATGCGCAGCTCCTCGGACCTGTCGCAGCCCGAGCCTCTTCCGCCATATGACGACAACAAGTCGCCGAACTATGAGGAAATCGGCCGGCTGTCATCTCGCCAGAGCCCGGCCACCTGGCAAAGCCGGCTGATGATTTCCACGTCCGGCCTGGGCGTCGCCATGAGCGAGGAGTCCCTGCGCAGTTTGCAATACTGCCTGACTTGGTTGCGGTGGGCCAACGGCCGGCTAGGCAAGGCCATCATCGCTCTTCAGGGCGCGGTCAAGGAATGGGACAGCGCCAGGCTGGAGAACGGCGAGGGCGATGCCTCGTTGCTGTCGCAGCGTATCCAGGCCGTCAAGGAAGATGTCCTCTCGACCCTGAAACAGGTCGTCGACGTCGTCTCCAAGTATGCCGGCGGAGCTCTACCAGAAAACGCGCGCCACCTGGTCCGTCGCCATCTGACGTCTCTGCCGCACCGGTTCCAGGTTGCCTCGACGTCCAAGCCTCCCCCTGACTCGCCCGCGTCCAGCTCAGACGCGACGCTCGGCGCTCACCGCATTTTGGTGCTGGCGCAGGAGGGCTTGGATATGATGGCGCAGGTCAGCGGCGTGGTCAATGATACTCTTGTTAGTGCCGAGCATTGGTGCCAACGACTAGGCAAGAAGCGCCCAGACAGGGACAGCAAGCAGCCGGATGGTATGCAACCGACTGAGTCCCGTCAGGAGCAGTACCCGGTTGATGTCAAGCAGCCGATCCGTGAGGACTCTCAAGATGTTGCGATGACGGGGACGGAGGAGGTGTAACGAACTGACTGAAGCGCATTGTGCCTACAGCAGGTACTGTCCAGGGATTGCACTTGGCGCATCAGAATGTGTCCGGAAACGATTTCACTACTGTGGGTAGTGTCAGAAACACTACTTGTGTCTCTCTTTGAGCTGGATTCTCCTTTGCAGTATACCTTTTTGACTTTCTTGTGACACTTTGACGATTCGAGACTTTTCATCTCCGTATATCTGGTTTTCATTGGTCGATTGATATCCGCATAGCTTGTTTGGTTATATCAGGCACGAAAGATCCGGCGTTGTTTTTGGTTTCTCAGCCGTGATTCAGTCTCTTTCCAGCCTCTCCGGGGCCCGGCATGCAGCTGGTGTCATTCATTCGATTGGTTCCCTTTTGTCTTCTACCTCGATTGCAAGTGCTCTTGTACGTAGGGCAATGTTTCCTAAAAGCGTTTCAATGGCAGCATGTTGGACAAAATCTCGTCTTATTTCAAGTTATGTCCCGCTGATCAAACGTACCACCCTCGACCTCGACCTCGCGGATGAAAGCCTTATATCCCTCCCGCGAACAGTGCAACCTCACTTTTATTGTCCTAGCCGCAGCGGCCCTTTGCTTTCGTCTCTCCTCGACAATCGCCGCCCACTTGAGGCGCACCTCGTCCACCCGCTGCCGCCGCGCCAGCCATCTCCGCCTCCACAACGCCATCTGGTACATCGACAGATGCGGATTCTCGTTCGGCGGCCGCACCCCTCTCTTCCCTCCTCCCCTCGTACATCCCTTCCCTGGATACTCCGCACCCGCAAGCACATCATCCACCAACGCAACCCTCCACCTCCACCGTCGCATCTCATGGACCTCCTCAACATCCCGACACAGCGTCAACATCCCCCGCCGCGAGAGATAGTGCACATGAATGTGGAAATCAAGCATGTACCGCGCGAACAGCGCCCCGCTCTCTTCCCCTCTGCCCGCTTCCCGCTCGGTGAGTTCTTCCAAAGCAGTACTGTAGCTCTCGTGCTGCGCCGGCGTCATCAGTCTTTGATACCCTGGTACCTGCGGCTCTGGCGGTATCGTTCGCGGGGATACGCCGTCTATCTCTATTGTCTGCGGATGCAGGAAGGGCGGGTCGCGGCGGGGATTGTAGAGGCCTGTGGCGAGGGCTGTGAGCAGGGATGGGCGGGGGAGCTGGGCGAGTTTGCAAGTTGTGCAGTGGAGGGCTTCGTCGAGAGAGGAGTTCTGCGTACGTTAGTTTAGCATCCTCGTCTGTATGGTGCACTTGCACTTGCACTTGCCATTTCTTGTTCCTCGGGGTCTGGCTGTGCCATCTTGGGAGTAGCATTCGCTAGCATATGTATACTCGAGTTGGTGGTCTATTTCAGGATGATTGATCTAGGATCCATTTATAAGCAGGTGCAGTCGAAGCTGCATAATATATATTACAAGAGAGGACGATGATGTCTTAATCATTGTGCGTAAGAAATGTGACTCCATCACTTGATTTGAATCATTTGAATCGGGCTTGTTGCTGTAGTCATGAGTTTGGGCTGCGTATACATTCTTGCTTTCTTGTATTAGGCAAGTCAGTTGATCTATGGGGTTGAGTCGATTCTGTCACATGCCCGTGCCCTAGAGACCGTCGCGACGAATGGTTGTCACCTTGATAGTACGCCTCTGCAGTCATGGGTAACATAATAAAAGGCTGTTTCTAATGAGACTGGGATATGTCTGGTATGTCTTGCATGAAAAGATATAGTATGTGGGAAGCGGTTGTTGGTTGCTTTTGTCTGGAGGTTGGTTCTAAGCAGAAGGTCTGAGGTTGATTTGTGTTTTGGTTGGTCTATATAAACTTTCTTTAGTAGGAAGTCGTGTCTTGTAACTGCAGCACTGTAGGACAGGCTGATAACTGCTATTATTCAGTGAGCATCATCTTCAGTCTGTAAAAGGCGAGATGTGTTGCGGAGCCATATTTCTCATCTGGATATATGTTATATGTATCAGCAATGCACGGAGTCGAAGTGTAGAATAAGTAAATCAGCAAGATGCACAGCTGAGTGAATGTCAATATCCTCAGAACAATAGTTCCCGTGAAGCAGATCAAGCATAATTCGTACTCACGACTCGAAGCTTCTCTCTCTCAGCCAGAAGCCAGGACCATGTCCGAACCATTATCCCTCAATCTCTTTCCAGCCATCTGCCTGTTACTATCATGCATTTTTGTGCTATGCGTACACTGGGAGACCATATCACGCACCCTCTCACTCTGCCATCCAAGACACTGGCGCCAGCGATGGAGCTACGCCCGAGTAAGCGACCAAGACACCCCTGTTACGATGTGAGTGTTAACGCCAGTAACCTCTCAGAATGCTTGCAGCTTTCTAACCATCTGCTCCGATCCTGCAGCGAGGAAGAAATTGAGATGAGCCTAATAGATCCCAACTCGACCTTGGAAGCTGCCAGCGACGACGACCCTCTAGCCAAATACTTTGATCCGCACACGTCCGTACTGCACAAGCACATCCTTGAGCCTCCCTCTCCGCCAATAGCGGCATGGGAACGAGACCTCCAGCACGGCATCGACAACGGGCGAGGGTTGACTGCGTCGATAGATCGTTTTGTGGATCGGGCCGTTAGACGCGTCGAGTCTGCGATAGGTCATCCATGAATAACGGTGTGTTCATGAGCTAACTGTTCATGGCGGTGTACATTTCGACAAGTCTACCGCGCTTAACGCAGTGCAGATGGTTAGAATAGAGTGGGAATATCACGCGGCGTTGGTCTGATTCATGTTGCTCTATGAGTAGCCCTGGGTCCTTGCAGGATTAATTCTGCCAGGATTTGTGGCGATAGGCCAATAGTGATCGTAGACGACGTTAATGATTTCTGGTGCAAATGAAGCCACATCGAACTCATGCGACTCATACTTGATGTCAATAGAATCTTGAGGATAAATACCCTCAGCTAGCTTGAGCACTTGAAATGGTATGTCACATGTTTGTTCATTCGTCTATCATGTATATACTCTATCAGATCAAATGCCGCCCAAAGTAATGAAATGCAAAAACCAAGCTGACCCAAATTTATGGTGCGCAGTAACCACCGTCGACAACGAGGTCAGCACCAGTGGTGTAGCTGGCAGCGTCCGAAGCCAGGTAGAGGTAGGCACCCTTCAGCTCTTCAGCACGGCCTTCACGACCCATGGGGATCTTGTCCTTCCAGATGCTCTTGATCTCCTGGGGCACGAAGCTTGAGATCTCTGTAGCGATGTAGCCGGGAGAGACAGTGTTGGCACGGGCGAACTTGACCCACTCCACGGCAAGAGATTTGCCTGGACTGCATTAGCAACATTCATGAATGTGATTCCAACCTGCCAAAACTTACAAAGGTGAATCACGGCCGCCTTGGAAGCGTTGTAGGCAGCCTGCATCTGCGGGAAGTTCACAATGTGGCCACTCATGGAGGCGGTGGCCACGAAGCTACCATATGTGAAGTTGGAGAGCTTGTTCCCGTTGATATCGGTTCCCTCCTCCTTCTGCCTCCTCCAGTGAGCAGCGGCGTACTTGGCGCAGTAAAAGGTACCGTTCAAGTCAATATCAACCACGTTAGAGTAGTGGTCAAGAGGCCCGTCAACCATGGGTCCCTTGGTCCAGGGGATACCTGCGTTGGCAATGAAAACGTCCAGACGGCCATTGAAGTCCTTCACAGTCTGATCAACCGCCTCCTGGACAGCCTTGGCGTTTGTAACATCGACCTGGTAGGCCTTGGCTGGGAAAAGTTAGGTTCTCTTTGCCCCATCTATTTGACCGGAATAAATTCAAGCTCTGAGCTTGTACTCACTCTGTACACCATACTTGGAAGCAATCTCAGCCGCCCGCTCAGGACACTTAGAGTTGGTGCTCCACCACAAGGCAACGTTGGCACCTGCTTCAGCCAGACCCTCAGCCACGGCGAGACCAATGCCGGCAGCGGCACCCGTGACAATGGCAGTTTTGCCCTTGAGAGAGAACATCTGCATCAAGCTCGGATGTTCGGGGGCGGAGGTGTTTTCGTGTACAAAAACACCACTCTGATTGACTGGGTTGGAAGCCATTGTACAAGATGGTGGAGTAGAAAGGGAATAAAGTACAACCTATTGAGAGAGCGATATTGAATGGAGGGAGAATGAAGAAACGGAAAATAGCAGCTGTCTATTATATAGGAGGGGCGGAAGCTACGGGGATAGCATCAAGCTATACGGAGTAGGAATAGCATCAAGCGGTGTGACGGGATGGTGGGGGTCAGCAAGGATAGCACTGCTGCTCTTCCGTCTTCATGATAAGGCATTTGGAGAAGGTTATTAATCGCAATCTGCTGGACCTTCTAGAATCCAAACACGGGGCTTACAGACACCCGACGAGGTGCACCCCTCCAGACACGTCTATGCGTCCCAAGGTAGTCGGAGCTACTAACGGGGGCGTCCAGCAGCTCAGTGGGCCCTCCAAGTTTCAGCGCAGCGCAGCGTCTGGCCATTGTGGATCGACTGAACCCATATGACAATACGCGGCCCAGAGCAGCCAGCCCGAGACGGTGTTAATGCGGGTGGCTGAACATAATCCGCGGGATTGCTTCTCGAGGAGATAATCATCTCGGTTAATATCGAAAGCCATGACGTCAGTCTTCATTTCAGAAGTAAAGGAGGCACCATGATCTTCCGATATCAGGGATTTCGATAGCCACAACAGTGAATGCCTGTCTGCTGGTTCCTGAACAGCTCAGAATGAGGATACACGAGGGTCAGAAGGGTTGAGGGGGGAACGTGGATGCTGTGGGTCGTTTCCCCGTGATCCGTGCTCCGTGATTGCGGATGTCCGATTCAGGACAGCCGATAGTCACGTGACTAATCTAAGCCCAAAAAGAGTAACAACAACAACAATAGGCCAGACGGGGTCTTTGGCCTGGCTATTGTTCTGCGTACCAAATCTTGAGTTCATACTAGACAGGCTATGAGAAATAACTGACAAGTTCAACGGCTTGCGAGTACTCATACTTTTCCTCAGACAACGACGGTTCTGCTTTGGCCATACTGTCGCAGTTGAGAGACGACACGCGGCAACACAGTATGGGAACATACAGATGATCATTCTTGACAAGTTCATGCCATCCAATCAGGTCGAAGAGTTATGCTGGCTTCAGAATGTACGACTGGGCCTTATTCTGTCCTGCATAATGGTCGGGACAGGTTACCTAACAACCAGCACAGCCAGAGTTCTTCTCTCTGGGGAACCATTATAACATGACACAGCGGGCCAGATTTTATCGTGATATGATCTGGATTCTTACTGCTCAAGCCTATATAGACCAAGTGTCTGTCATCTGCACGGATTAGAAGATGAGGGTCAGCATGCACAATGACGAGCATTCCGCGCGTCCGCTGCAATGCGGCCACACATTCCTCTGCTTCAGCTTGGTTTCCTCTTAACAAACGCACAATCCCCCTGGGTGCCACAGTTTCCATCCTGTACTGAATCCGTTTCTTTTGCCTCCTGGATTTGTCGCCCACAGGGGTGTTGGTCTGCTTCGCCATTCATTCAAGGACATCAGATCCAGACCGATTAAGCAGCTTCTGTCACTGAAACAAGCGATGAAAAGATCCGGACTGCCTTGAGCTTTGATCAGCATCAGTGTCTGCTTACTTGACGGAAGGGGCGAAGGCGACTGACGATGCCGGCGCTGGCCACCGTGATCGCGGTGGCTGCTGTATGCGCCGCTCTTTTCATCCTTTCCGCGGTGGTGGGAACACTCGTCTGGATAAAAGCCCGTCGAGAGCGACGTTCACTAAAGGCAGTCAGCGATGGTCACGGTCGATACGCTAGACAGTTACGAGCATTCGAAGCCGACACGGCGACATCACTGTCTCGGGAAGAGGGTTCTGCCCTGAGACTATACGGACAACTGCCATACGGAAAGCCAAATGAATGGGGCGTTTTAGCTAGTCGGGAAAGCCTCACGTACTCCACAGTGAACTCGGAAGCATCTTCTCCACTCGCTGAAAAGGCTCGATCGCTGGGCCGTTCGCTTTCACGATCAAAATCAACCCGGCAGCTGAAAGTTCTGCTCAGATCGCGGCCTCCGGGTCCCCTGGCTCCACTTGCAGAGGCAGCCGAGAGACCCTCTGACAAAGGGTCCAGGTCGAGGGCCAAAGACCATGTATCCGTCTCGGCAGTCGAAGGAGCCCTTGAATTACCAACAGAGATGACACCCAGACAAACACCGGAAAAGGAAGAAGAACGAAGCCTCGCCGAACCATCCCGGCCACTGTCAACGGTGATGCCTTTGGTGCATAGGAGAGAGCGCTCGGGCAACCTCTTCCCAGTTATGGAAGACCATCATGAAGGGTTCGAACTGCCTTTTACTCGAGTACGAGGTGGAAGTATTACGACACAGACAGCTGGTGCCATCCCAGAACAGCCGGTGCCGCCGCCGCCGTCGGCTTATCCCCCAAACCGATTCCGCCTTTCAAAGAATGATTCGATGCGGTTCTCATCGTTGAGTCTGGAGACGGCGGACAGCTCCATCTTGGACGACAGCCGGAGAACTTCGACTGCTATCGAGAGTGATTTCACTTCTCCAGCATTGCCTCCCTGCCCAACTTTCGCACCTTTCAGCGCCAACGATGTCGGCCGCATGGAATCCGAGCGGCGAAGTTTCGCAGCGTCAAACTCAGCATATCCTGCACCATTCATCTTTCCTGCCACATCGCCTAGTCATGAAGCTCTGAGGCTGGAACCAAACCGTACGTCGCCTCGCCGCAGTTTAACTGCACGTAGTCCTAGCCAAACAGAGCGCGTCAGCCCTCCTCCTAGGAGGAGTGAATCTCTTTGCTCCAACCAGTCCAGAAGGGAGGTCACCTCCATGCCGCACCTGGACACGAACATGACCCCGCATCTAAGTGCAACAGGCTACAGCGGCTCGCTGCTGCCTTACTTCAGTCAGTTGCACCGGCACTCCATGTACGCAAATAGGCGTACGGACGGAGATCCTTTCTACGGCGGCCGCACGAGTTCACAGATCTCAATTCACCCTCCTCGAGCACCCGCAAGGAGGGTTAGCAGTCTCTATGTGCCAGAACTATCTACACAGGTTAACTCGGACAATTCTCCTAAGCCACCATTGACCTCCGCCTTGAAGAATACCCCTGGTCATCGAAAAGGCCACAGACGTCAGAACTGCGTCCGAATCTCGATCCACCCTCCTATCACCTTTGGGGGCCCTGCATTCTCGCCAATGGCTGAAGAGCCCGAGGAGCTGGAAGACATGAGCCGGCACAGACCAGAAGCTCCACGTCCGACCAGCTACAGTCTTCCCTCGATGAATTCAAGTGTTGTCACCTTCTCCGCGAACAAAAATAACTCGTACGACTTCCAAAGGCACCGGCCACGAATCACAGATATCTGCTCTACTCCTGACGGAAGCCCAACCAAGAAAAGAAAGCATAGCAGAGCTGACTCGGGCGACGATTTCTTGAGCCCTGCGGGGAGCGACAAGTCTCTACCAGAAATAATGACATCTTTACAGTCCAGCAACGATGGTTCTCTATCACAGACACCGTCTCCTGATAAGAATGCTCCCCTCTGGATACTTCCCATCCTTGCAAGCTCGCCGACATCCCGCGAGAATGCATCACCGCAAACCAGTCCGCGTCGTTCGGCAGTCAAGGGTCCACGCACGCTGCCAAGTAAGATGGTGTACAGCAATAGTCCTCGCTCCGTGGTCCCACTCGAGGAGAACAACACTCTGTCAATACAACAAGCCTCCCCAAGTAATCACCCTCTTTCTTTGAGGCCTTACGGCAACAGCAAAGATATTGCTACTGCTACGGATCCTTTGCCACATGACGAAAGCAGCGCTGCCGTTTTAGACAACACGCCTCTGCAGCAGCAAGACCAAGAGGAGCTCTCATGCGACGTGCACGAAACGCTGAGCACGTCCAACGGCAATATGATCACCATCTGGGAAGACAATGATACGGAACGAAATGCTCAGCGTATCGCTCCGACAACCCAGCCCAATGAAAGGAAATCCAGTCGCAAAGGCAGTCAGCAAACAACAACGGACGACAGGACGTCGCACAAGTCAAGCCAAAAAACACCCAAGAAAGCCATCACGACGCCTACGGGGAAGACAATAGGACTAGGAATTGGCGCTGCAACTCCTGGAAGTTTATACGATGGAGACGGTTTCTTGAAAGAATAGTCGGGTCTGCTTTGCTTGGTTAGCAGCTTATGGAGTTTATTGGGTCATTTCATCATTTCATTTGGCGGTGTTTGGTTACTTTCTTTCCTTGCTTGATAGCTTCCTAGGCATCCCTGCGAACTGCGTAAAATCCGCGTGTTAGATAGATGCAGTTTGAAATCAGTCAATTGTGTAGCATAGTGTCTTTTCGTCATTTTCCTCATTAGGTGTTTTCTCATAAGTCAAAATAGCACCTGTAGAACCACGAATACTTTTGCCAACCCAGTTCTGGAAGTACACATATATTGCAAGGGGATTTGCCTTGCACCTCTCAACACAACTCATCTCACACAATTAGCAACACCTAATCTGTCCTCCTCCACTTAGTCTCCTCGTCCTCGCCCTGCGCATCACCACCCTCCGCACCCTCACCCTCGCGCTGCCTCACAGTCCCCGCCCCAGGCCCAAGAGGCAGCGACGGCTCCTCACCCCCACCGATCCAATTCCCCTCCTCATCAAAATACTCATGCATATTCTCCGCCGTGATCCACCCAGAACTACCATCCATAGGCGGCGGCAGGCCCCCATCCGCACTCCCCATCGTCACGAAGCCAGACTGCATTAGCAAATCCCCGTCACCATCTGCTTCCTCATCCTCCTCCTCCATCGGATCGGGATGGAGATTCGAACACGCCGACACAGCCGCATACATCATCTGCACCGGCGTCTCCTCCGGCTTCTCGGATTGGTCCTCCATCGCATCCTCCGCGGAGGGAGCGGCAGCTGTGGTTGCGCCGGTCGGCGGGACGATCGTCAGCGTGATGCTTTCCTCCTCCTCGTCTTCGGTGTTTGTCCCTGGAGGGGCTGGGGTCGCGATCTGCATGTATAGCCCTTGGACTTCGGCGGTGCTGCCAGGGAGGCGGAGGCGCTGGATGGCGTGGAGGGAGATGGAGGGGTAGGGGATTGAGACGCCGGCGGCGACGGCGGGGGCGTAGAGGAGGAATTTACTGGCGATTGGTTCAGTATGAGACAGAGAGTAAAGTGGATGATGGCAGACTCACTCCGATGTCACCCAGACATCTACACCGTCTACGACGAGCTCGTTCTCTTGTCCTTCTTCTCCGTCGGCGGGGGCATTGCTGCTCGCGGCAGCGGTCGAAGTATGGTCGCCAGATCCGTTTGCTGTCGGAGTTGAGCCGCGGATCGCATTGAGGGCTGGTGTGGAGAGGAGGTCGCGTTCGAGGATGACCAGCTTGCACTGCTTGCTGTGGTAGTGGAGGACTGGAGGGCCGGAGTGGAATGACGCGGGCGTGCGCGATTGGTGGTCGGCCAAGAGAACGAATGAGGACGCTTCAGGGGCTGATCGAAGAGGCTCCATTTTTATTTGGGTAGGGTGTAGAAAGGATTACAGGTGTATAGTACCACTTGTCGCGTGGTTGGAGGAAATTTACCAGAAGATAAAGGTGGTCGGTGATTGTTATCTGGAGGGGCCGAGCGGGAGCTAGGGCCACGGCGGAGAGCTTCGCAGTGAGCTAGGTCTTCCCAGATACGTCAGGCCTCGCACTTGAGCTTCTACAGGAAAGATGGGATGAAATTCGACATACGAGCGAGTCTCAGGAGTGGCAGAGCCTTATCATTTAGGAAATATCATGTAAGGGATGTATCACATTTAAGAGATTGTATATAATTGAGTGGTTCGGGGAGTGCCAGATGCGCATCTAAAATATACACCCGACTCATTGGGACCTAATCTTAGCATACGTGCGCGCTTTGGAAGAGTACACAGCATATTCACTTAGCCCAAGTGCAGCTCAATCAACCTACACCATAGGGTCGATGGCGGGTGATGAGAGAAATTGCTGCTCGAGGGCGGCTAATGGGGGTTTGTGGTCATTCAAGCCTGCTTCCACATCAATCTGCAAGTTTGGGACGTTACACTGCTGCAGAATCCGTCGGATTGAATGGCCCATCTCTCCTGAGAGCCAGTTTCAGATCGTCTAGTTCCGTCAGCCGATGAGGCGCTTCCTGTGGACATGGCGCATTCTTTTGGTAAAAATGTCGTCCTCACTGTGGAAGTCTGAAATGCGATCCAATGACCGGAGACATCTGCAAGCAATAGTGCAGAAATTCAGTTTCTGAGGCCATCTGTCTGGCATAGCACCGTTGCCTATTTCACATCCAACCCTCCAAAAGCGCGATCCAACTCTTCGCCCTCATCGCGAGGTACCATGGCAGGAAAACCAGATGAGCCTTGGTTGCCGGATGAGCTGTCCAGTAAGCTATGGTTTGACTGATTCTTTGACGATTGAGCCGGCGCCGAACTGATGGGCTGAAGCAATTTCTCATCTCGATCCAGCCAACCCGGAGCGACACGCCTCTTTTCCGCAAGTTCTCTTTGCGATATCGCTTCCTCCCACTTTTTGATCGCGTTCTTGGCCTCGATCCGCGCCCTGTTCAGATGTTCCTCCAGCGACTTGCAAGAGGCCAGTATCTCTTCTGGGCGCGCCGCATGCTCGCCGCTTGGGGAGACCACATAACGGGCTTTGATGTCCGGATTACTGGGATCAACGGTAACAGATGGAGGTAGAGTCGATGGAACTGATTTGTAGGTGTAGGGAAGAGTGACTGAGGTAGGGAGATTGATGAACGGGGAGACTGTCAAGGGGACTTGGGCGAGAAGCGGATGAGGACCTGTGCGGGAGGACTGTCAACACTACTAATGGCTAATTCTCAAAGAGGTTATTGAGATACATACGGAATGATTCATACATGGCTGTTGCAATTCGGTTCTCTCGGAGCGCAACGAGATAGAAAGTAAGACGCGTTGGAGTCTAGAGGGCCAGAATGTGGGCGTGGGGAAGGCAAAGGAGGATGAACCGTCGGACGGATATCCCCGCACTCCAGGGACAATTCCAGTATATTATTTGCCTCAAGGAATCTTAGTCTCCTGCGTCGATGCAACAGAGGCCGATGATGGATGAATGAGATATATAAACTTACGTATCTGATCGCAGCACCCCGCCAATGGAAACCGTAGAGCCGTAAATCCATGCGAAATCCAGCTTAACTTCATCAGACAAGTCAGGGTAGGTTCCTTGTGGGCAAATCCCTGACCCAGATCACACTGTACTAGAGCCTCCAGCCTGATCAAAGACCTTAGAAAAGACCAGCCCTCATCTTTTGCCAGGTTCTCTCAGCCCACCGCAATAATCTTGCATTGCCGACGAACAATTACTAAATTGCTTTTCTGCTCATACATATCTTGTCCTCCTTCCTTTATCCAGTCTATCTCTTTTCCGCCACGCGACCCACGGTCACCTCAGCTTACGCTATTTTAGGAAAAGGCAATACACTTGGCTGTATCCTAAGAGTCCTCAGGTTTCATATCCACAATTTCTCCTCACTATCGACACTTTTCTTCTCTACGCTTTTGCCCCTTCTTCCCTACAGAAAAGCCCATCATCGACCGGACGATTGATCTCTTTGATCACTGACGTCAAGGCAGTTCCTCGATCCGGCCTTCGTCTCGTGTGTAAAATCCCGCCGCGGTTTAACCCCACCACAAACCTGCCTCCGCGCATCCAACGTGCCCCCTTCTCCTTGATCTGCCCACTTGCGCACCGAAAATCTTCCGCAGACTTACTTCTTTGAAGTTCGTAATATTTCTTAGTCCACACTGCGCAAGATGGATCAAGCACTGGCGCGCGCGGTGAGGGAGAAGAAGCCGGTCCCGGAGATCGACTTCACACTACACACCATGGAGGATGGCACTCAGGTCTCCACGCTGGAACGGGTGATTAAAGGTATGCCCTAATATTGAGTCTTTGCTGCGTTGTAAATATTCGCCGTCTCTAACAATTTTGCGGATTCAGAGGTGCAAGCGCCGGCTCTAAGTACTCCAACGGATGACATGTTCTGGTCTCCTGAAGATCCTTCGAAGCCCAACCTCCAGTTCCTGAAACAACATTTCTATCGGGAAGGTCGTCTTACAGAGGAGCAGGCGCTATGGATTATACATGCCGGAACTCAGGTTTTGAGATCTGAACCTAATCTGCTAGAGATGGATGCGCCGATCACAGTCTGTGGCGACGTTCACGGTCAATACTATGACTTGATGAAACTCTTCGAGGTCGGTGGTGATCCGTCCGAGACGAGGTACCTTTTCCTGGGTGATTATGTCGACAGAGGTTATTTCAGCATTGAGGTGAGAGATGACTACTTGGGAGACCTGAAGGTCGGTGAAGCTGATATCAGCTAGTGCGTTTTATATCTCTGGGCCCTGAAGATCTGGTACCCGAATTCGCTTTGGCTGCTCCGAGGCAACCATGAATGCAAGCATCTCACCGACTACTTCACCTTCAAGCTGGAATGCAAGCATAAATACAGCGAGCGTATCTATGAGGCCTGCATTGAGTCATTCTGCTCGTTGCCGCTGGCGGCGGTGATGAACAAGCAATTCCTGTGTATACATGGTGGCCTGAGTCCTGAACTTCACACTCTCGAAGATATCAAATCGGTGCGTTCAAAGCTGTTCGAAGGTTTCTTTTTTGTCCTTTTTCTAACGTGAGTCTGCAGATCGATCGTTTCAGAGAGCCCCCGACTCACGGTTTGATGTGCGATATCCTCTGGGCTGATCCGCTTGAAGAGTTCGGACAAGAAAAGACAGGAGATTACTTTGTTCACAACAGTGTTCGAGGCTGCTCTTACTTCTTCTCGTACCCCGCGGCTTGCGCTTTCCTTGAAAAGAATAACCTGTTGTCGATCATTCGAGCACATGAGGCGCAGGACGCTGGATATCGCATGTACCGAAAGACTCGGACGACCGGATTCCCAAGTGTGATGACTATCTTCAGTGCTCCCAACTACTTGGATGTCTACAACAATAAGGCTGCCGTCCTGAAGTACGAGAACAACGTCATGAATATCCGACAGTTCAACTGCACGCCTCACCCGTACTGGTTGCCAAATTTCATGGACGTGTTTACGTGGTCGCTTCCTTTCGTTGGTGAGAAGATCACCGATATGCTCATCGCCATCCTCAATACCTGCTCTAAGGAGGAGCTCGAAGACGAGACTCCCACATCCGTATCGCCTTCCGCTCCTTCTCCTCCGCTCCCAATGGACGTGGAGAGCAGCGAATTCAAGAGGCGGGCGATCAAGAACAAGATTCTTGCCATCGGACGTCTCTCGCGCGTCTTCCAGGTGTTGCGGGAGGAGTCTGAGAGAGTCACTGAACTCAAGACGGCTGCTGGTGGCCGCCTCCCTGCTGGTACTCTGATGCTTGGTGCCGAAGGAATCAAACAGGCTATTACAAACTTTGAGGATGCTCGCAAGGTTGACTTGCAGAACGAGCGTCTTCCACCCTCTCAGGAGGAGGTCATGAAGAGAAGCGAAGAGGAAAGACGGGCTGCACTTGAGCGTGCCCAAAAGGAGGCAGACAATGACACCGGCTTGGCTACCGTCGCCCGGAGAATTAGCATGTAAGTCAACCCTTCTCCTGGCAAGAAGTCTCATCGCCTAATAAAGCACAGGTCGGCTGGCTCTGGCAGGTCTCGTCGGCAAAGAGATGCTCCCCGTGAGATCCGGGAAGCCTGAATCGGTTAGGTCACGTCCATGTGGTAGTATTTCCGGCAGGGTATCTGTCCGTCGTGGGGGCTCAGTGCTTGCCTGTGCTTGTACGAAGGCCCCTAAGTTTTGACCACCCGAAATCCAGTGAGTCCGCAGGAAAACAAGGTTATAAACTGCTCCCTTTGCATCCAACCTGTCGTTTCTTCTGGTTGAATGTGACGAGCGAATAACTGTGACTTTGGCGAGGTGGACATAGCTATAATTTCTGCACAGAATTCTCGACGCGTCCGTGACGCCTCGACTACACGAGCTCATGAATTGATACACCATGGTTTTCTTTGCGCTATATGTATATGGTAGCGGATATTGTTGGTTCTTGGGGTTGTACCGTTTTCTATACAACCAATGCTTTCCACTCTTTGGCCAGGATGACATATATGGTAGACGTAAAGCGACTTGTAAACACTTATCAGCAATTTCCACTATGAGAGCTCACAAATCCCCGCTGATTCCCAAAAAAAAATCTGTGGTTTCGTGGTAACGCTTGTTCTGGTCAACTGCCATGCCGCCAAGACAAGTCGATAATTCCTGTTTTGCGGAACGGAGCACTTGCTTAGGTTCACTCTCCCTCTCCAAATGCTCACCAGCATATCACTCACGTCGAGTCAATGCCTCCCAAATTCCGCAGCTCGATTTCGAAGAGCCTATCGCGGCCCTCGGACAATGGATTGATCTTCTACTGTCCATCCTGCTCAATCTGGAGACGTAGCCTGACAACGCGTCCCCGCGGCAATGTCACTCCGCGACGAGACGAGAAACACATTTCATCATCGCCATCGATACCCTCAGCAAATGCGTGCCGCCGTCAGCTTGCGACATCGACTTTGGTCAGCGCTCGGAGGAACGTGCCAGAACGGTTCAGGGAGCTGTATGAAGCCTTGAATCGGGTCAGGGATGCCGCGCCGGAACAGGTCAATATCAGCCGGTTACAGCTTGCATTGCGTGGGTTGGAGTCGGAAGTCCCGCTTATCCGGGTAGCTGGTTAGTTCGTGTTGATATGTGGAAGGTATTGAGGAGATTGCAACAGTGGCTAACTAATGGCTTCGTTTACAGTCCTCGGATTAAATGACGCGACCGCTGCGCGCAGGCTCGTTCGTCTGCTGCTTGCTGATCCCTTGAGTTCTCGGGAACCCTGGGAGGATGTATTAGATTCTGAGGATGCGGATATGTCGCGGGGGCTGCTGATTCGGTATTAAGCCTTGCTGCCGCATGGAAGGGAGACGCTGACAGGTTGACAGATACGGAGAAGTGACGGAGACGATCCCTAATGACCTCCTACCTACGATCTCGGTGCCCTCATCGATCTTGAAGAAAGGCAATATTGAAATTCTGGTATCCACGCTCGGCGCGGAGACGGAGTTCTCACCCGCCCAGCTTTCCGCGGATACATTCCTCGTGCCCACGGTGACGATACCCATTTCGCAGTCCGGCCGGCACAATGCAGTGCGCTACCCAGTCCACAGGAGTATTGTGTGTGGCAGGGGCGTAGATGGTCTACTCGCATACAGCGGCTTGGTCGCTCGATCGGACCTGAAGAAACAAGCGCGGTTGGTCTACGGAGCTATTGCCTTGCCTGGCGCTGCCGCGGAATCAGCTAGCGATCGCATAAGCTTTGTGGACCTCGACAAAGCCGATGTCGCCTTGGCTAAATTTCGCGAATCCGTGCAGAACGCGTCGCTATACGAGCAGGGGTGGCATCAGAGTGGTGTGCAGCCGGTTGTGGATTGGCTGTCCTCCTTGCGGGCAGAAGCAGGAGCGCTGGATCCCTCCCTGAAGACTCTGATTGAGGCGCTGATTGATTCGGCGGAGACAAGAGTGATTACAGAGGAAAACAGGAGGATACTGGAGCAAGAGATCGAGTCAGTCCCTGACCACGTCCGCGAGCAACTGATCCAAGTTGTATCTTCATGGGCGGAGAGGGCTCACACCGAGCTACAGAGTTCGCTCGAAGAAGGATTCGCCAGCAAACCGTGGAAAGGCCTCGCATGGTGGAAGCTGTTCTGGCGAGTGGACGACATTGGCATGATCACGTCTGAGATCCTGGAGAAGAAGTATCTCTGCCGAGCGGAGAAGGATGTGATCTGGACTGCGGGCAAATTTGAGCAGGCTGGCGTGCTTGAAGCACCCCGGATTTCAACCGAAGAGGTGCCCGCCGAGCCTACGAAAGAAGATTCGAATAGTGCTGAGACTCGGACAACGCCAGCGCAACCAGCGGAGCCCTGGCCGACGCAGATCAGCAACAGCCGAGCAAGGCTCCTAGACACCACTGTGCCGTCTTTGCAGGCTCTGGCGCAACGACTCGTGCTCTTCAGCTTATCTACTACGACGCTGACAAGCGCGCTCTCGGCGTTGACATACATCTCGCTCCCCACTGCCTCCATCTATGAGACCGGCACAATGGCCGCAGTGGGGTTGATCTACTCTCTGCGGCGACAGCAGAAGAAGTGGGATGCCGCCAGAAACTTCTGGGAGGAAGAAGTCCGGGAGGATGGCCGAACCGCTCTGCGAGAGACAGAGCAGCACCTGCGCACAATTGCGCAGGAGGGAGGAAGACGGGTTGAAGAAGACTCGCCAGCCAACGCAGCCCGTCAAAGCATTGACCAAGCCAGGAAAGCTCTTGAAGAGCTAGATTAACGCACCTTATTAGACGCCCACCTAGATCAACGTACTGTACAATACCATTTCTACTGTTCTTTTTCTGTATCTTTCATTCACGTAATCTCCACACTCCCCTCGGGTACGCCCTGCCAACTGCGCAACCGCCGCGCAAAGAACTGCATCACGGGCATCATCTCCTCCCGGTTCCGCGGCATCCCATCCCCCTTCCGCGCGTACTGATGGACCTCCACAAACTCAAAGACCTGCTTCGTCCGCCGTATAGCCCCATCACTCACTGCCGTCGGCTCCCGCCCACCCACCAGGAGCACCGGCGTCCGGCTCTTCGCCCCCACCGTACTCCCCGACAGGGGATACGGCGCCCCGATGGAAATCACCCCGGACAGAGACGCATCCGCATCCGCACTCCCCCCAGCACTCGCACTCTCTGTCCTCTCCCCGCCAATCTCCCTCGCCGCAACCAACGCGGCCATCCCGCCCTGCCCGAACCCCAGGAGCAGGATCTCCCGTGGCCGATACCCGCATTTCCGCACCAGCACGCCCCGGATCACGTCGTCGACGAGCAGGGTCGTTGCGCGCCTGAACCCGGCGTCCATGTCTAGCGTGCCTGTCGCCGAGTCGAAGGAGACGTCGTCGCCCCAGTGGAAGCCGCCCAGGTCGAAGGGGAGAGGGTTGGGCGCTTGGATCGTCACGACGGTTGTTTCGGGGAGGTTGAGGGCCCGCCCGAAGGAGGTGAAGGCTGCGGCTGTGTCGCCGAGGCCATGTAGGAGGAGGAGGATGTTTGGCGGTGCGGGGTGGGTTGCGCGGGGCGGGCTTTGGGGAGGGGTGATGGTTACTGTGAGGTGGGAGGGGAAGTCGGCTGGCGAGGGAGGTTTTTTGGATGTCATTTTATCGTTTGTTCAGTATGGGGACTGGGTAGGTCTTGTTGTTGGTGAGATGTTGTTTTCAGTGGTAGGTAGCTGTGAGAGCTTTATCGGTGTGGGGTAAGTGGTTCCGAGTTGGGCTATGTCCTCTCAATTGGATGTTAAGATGATCAATAGCATGATAGAGTTTTTTCATGCGTGTCAGATTAAGAGTCGCATTGCTGCGGTTCATGCAGTAAGCAAAGAGTCGTCGAGAGTAGCGAGATTCAGACATGACGTTGATGGAGAACGTCCTAAGCTCAAGCTCAGTGTATGCCTTATAAATCAGGCCAACACCATCGGCCTGAAATTTCTGGAATCCATTTCCGAGTCGGCCTAACGCTAGAGCTTCAGATGCAGGCTAAGAGAAGCCTGTCCCCCTCAGTCTCGCAAAGACTCCTACATCTTGATCGAGCGGACTATATTCGTCCGAGATGAGCTTGAAAATCAGGGGGAAAGGCAGGCACAAGCGAAGGTCAAAAGACCTGACCCAGGCTCGCAGTCATTTCCCAAGTCGATACTGCTCCTTGGAGTGGGTACTTGGGTAACAAGTACAAAGTATCATACTCAGCTCGCTTGCGGAGCCAAGGACGACATTGGATGATTGAACGGTCAAGACACCGCTTCATCCTGCTTGGCCAATATACACTACAACATATCTGGCTCGTGTTTCACTTTCACCGACTTGAGTTCATGGAGTCCATCCAGCTTCAGCCACGACGATAGTACACCGCCACTTGTGAGGGGCGAAGATGCATGATGCAACGTGGAAGCCTCTCGTAGTGGACTATTGACGGTGGTTCCGATTATGGAGCTTTGAGGTGGAGAGCATCCAGTAAGAGATGCACACCACCATCTCGCTAGTGGCTGGAGGGATACATCTCTTTTTAGGGAGATATGTTGATGCACTACACAATGGACTTTGTAGAGGATAGCAAATAGTCAAATGGTCCATAAGCAGGTACTCGTACGACTGTACGACCGTACGAGTAAGCACAGGACGATAGACAAGCCTTCACAAGACAGCTTGGCGTTCTCACCAATTCCTCGGCGATTTGGTAAATCGATCCCGGCAATCACTAGATGAGTTGATACTGCTAAATGCTAAATACGGTAGTGTGGATACTGTGGCTCATCCAAAGTGAGGCTGAGCGAGAGACCCATGTATCGGTCGATCCGCGGTTGAATTAAGACAACTGAGGAGTGTTGGCTATCTATTATCTCCGATTATTATTACATGCGTAGTAAGAACTCGTTACCAGGTAGACGACTGAGATAGCAGCAGTAGCATGGAATACCTTAGTCTCGACTTGTATGGAAATACTCAAGGATGTAATAGTTATGCTAGCGCTGGTCTTATGGATTCTAAGCTACTATAGTTGGGGATTGGACCATGGGAGACAGGAGGGGACGGCGGGACAGTCATTCTCCCTTTGAGTTCGGCTCCGAAATAGACGGGAGTGTTGCTCGTAATGACACAATTACATACGAACAGTAAATGCTACTGCCTAGATTTGAGGCAATCTTCTTCCAGCTGAAACGGCTCCTGTCGTCCTCGTGGAGCAATTACTCCACTGACTGGCGTATGCAAACGCCTCTAACTGCGAGTCGAACGCCGCAACTTGCAAGTCTCCAAAATTGGATAGACGCTGTGGCGCATACACCATTATTCACGTAATCGGAAACACCGTGGGAGGGTCAGTGGGAGGGTCAGAGCGAGGGGTAGTGCATAACCACTGCATAGAGAGGTGCTGCCATACCATTACCATCGTTGTACTGTTATCCTTCACACCACTCTCAAGGATAGGGGCGGCAAGACGGCCCATCCGATCTTCCCCTACCAACCTCGTAAGGCTTAGGCAGTGGAGTTATGAAAATAGACACTGAGACGATGGCGCGTAAGGGGCAATGAGCCCATTTGACTCCCCTCAGGTAGCTGATAACCCCGCCATGAGCAGGGTATAAGTTGAGCAGACTGCCTCCCCGTCTGTGGTCCGGGGTTATACCATCGCACAACTATCGCAACACTTCTGAACTACCTTTAGATTCCTATACCCTTTCTTCATTTCACAGGATCAATTCAAAATGGCTTGGGGCTGGGGTAAGTCGTTCCTTTTCATTCAATCTTTGAATGGACTCTGGGAAACCCTCCTGCTAGGATCAAGAATGGGTCCCGTTCCTTTCTCGCCCTCCACTCCGTTGTTACTCGCCGTGTTCGAACACTAATGATACGATCATCCAGAGCAATCCGACGAGGCTCACCGTGAGGTGTATGGCGAGCGCAAACACGAGAGCAGCCTGTCTCATGAGCTCATTGCTGGAGCTGCGTCGTTTGCCGGCATGAAGGCTTGGGAGGACCACCAGCGTCGAGAGGGTAAGTATTCGGGACCCTGCTTAGTGTGTTAGCAAGCACTAATAGCGTCTCAATCTGCTAGGCAAGCCCGTCAGCCATGCTTTCGCCAAGGAGGCCCTGGCAGCGTTTGTCGGTGCTGAGGTCGACAAGCTCGTCGAAACAAAGGGACTTGATGAGGCGGATAAGATACGCGCTCGTCGCCATGCTAAGGAAAATGCCGAACGCATGTACGACGAGCACTACGTCGACCGACAGGGAGCTCCAGAGTACGACCCCAATCGCTACGAACCTCACGAGCGCTTCAACCGCCCTGTCGACCGCTGGTAAACGCGTGCCGTAAGGGACAGTCAGACAACATGTACTTAGGTCAGAACAGTGATGATGGCCATGAATTGAATATATTGCATGATTGTGAAAGTGATCAAGTTGCTCTCACACCTTCATAGATGACGATCATTAATAGTGTCGCTGCATGACGCAACCCGAAACAAAAACAACAGTCAGTCGCTGAGTGACGCCACCAGTCTTGGCAGTGTTGCGTACTTAGATAGCTGGTATGTAGGAGTCCGCCTAGTCAGGCGATATGCATGAACATCACCTTTATTTAGATAGTGGCACGAGAATCACAGGGCCCAACTCTAGTGCTTTCAGAGTTTACTTTCAACAATGCATTCATTTGTCAGTTTGCGGTCTTGGAACTTTGATGAGTTGATCCAAATTGGTTGATGCCATTCCGCAGTGCCTGGACCACGTATCACGCAGTCACATGTCTAGGCACAGTGATTAACCAAGGGCGACTCTGATAGGTTGCCGACCTGGTTCCTGAAGCGCAAGACCAACGGAACCTACCTCACGGATCAAAACATTTTGATGAGGACATCCTGAGCATAGAGCTATAGAGCCCGTCTAGATATGTGATGGATCGAAAATCACTCCGATTGAGCAGTGATAAATCGAGAGATACACTTTTTCTTCTGAATACCTAATCGTAAATACCTACCAGCCAACCAGATCATCTGAAACTGATGCAAATGCAAGCCGGGAGTGGATGCACAAATGAATTCATCGCCTGCTGCACGTGCGCCTGTCTAAGGTCATCGACCAACCAGCGTGCGTTTTCTCTATTGTCTGCCCTGTTTAAGGTGCTGCCAGTGGCAGATACTAGCACTAAGTAGGTAGCTAGACTGCTAGAGGACCATCTTCCACTCAATCAATTGAATGCCTTCTTCCAGTTTTCTTGTGTGTGAGCAGAATTATCCGCCTACCTTATCCGCCTTAGGATCTACTTACTTCTTGGCAGCTTCAAACAGGCCAGACCTGATGACGACTTTTTTCAACCGGTTTGAAGTTTTCTTGCGATTTTGCCAAACTATTTTTTTTTTCTCTAGCTCCTCCGATCTTCATTCTTTGTCTCTTGGGGCTTTCGCGCACTGCTCACACTCGTGATTCTTTTCCAATTACCTGGGATCTTCATATGTCACTCCCTTTCCTAGTGTGATGGCTGTTTTTCCCTCCCCGACTAGACAGACTATCCCCGGCAATTGTAACTGAACGAAGCGAAAGTGCGCGGCCTGCAAGCAATATCTCCATTTCACTAGCAACCTACTAGCAGCACTTTCTAGGCGAAGACGAACGCCCTCTTCATCCTTCGGCTGATCCTCCCTAAGCTCCCAATGGGATCCAATCAAGTTTGAACATCCAGGCCCCTGTCTTCATTCCGTCTTTAATATCATGCACAATCCCGTCTGCACCCCAGGATGAAG